TCCTTTAATCCTCACCATCTCACTTTCCTTGTTACCACTTTATGGGTGAAAGCTGTTCTATCCATAACCTTTTGAGGTTCCATCAAACATAAATTCAAATGTTAAAACTTATAAATCAAGCCAATAAACTATTAAAGTCTTCTTTGCTTTCTTGCCTTGACACAGATACTGTGTCCTAATGACCTGGAAGGCCAGACTCAGATTCAGGGACCTCTGACCACTTAGCAGCCCTAGCCTACAATGGGCCAACCTCCTCATTTTGTATAGGTTTCATGCTTCCACAAGCAGCCACCATGGACCACCGTTGTGTCCTGCAGTATATATCCATCAGAAAGGTAGCTCTACCAAAGAAAACCCAGACTCTGGAAGCTGGCTTAGGGAACTTTGACCTGGAAGTCTTGAATACATAGGGTATGATCACTAGGAAAAGACTTGTGTCAGGCAGAGCCCCCAGCCCAAGTTCACCTTCCATAGTCTAAGAGAGTTCTGGATGAAGAAACAGTTTAAGTGACTTACCTCCATGTCTGTAAATAGAAAGCAGTGGAGCCAGATTTGCATTGTGTTGTGTGGGTGCACAGAGAAGGGATGGCACCTCAGTTGGGCAGATCGGCTGACATAGGACTCAGTGATGAATTGTTGGGGTAAGGTGTAAAGGACTGGTGGTCGATGATTCTATGAGTATTGCTTAAAATCTTGAAGGGGCAAGCCCAGAATCAGACTGGAGAGGAAGAGAATTGGCTGTAGCCTTGTCCAACAAAGGCTGAAGGCAGTGCCATCCATTAGAAGGACTACAGTTGTGTTTGTGGGGTAGGTAAATATGTTGTTGATACTAGATTCAAGAGTCAGTGCCCAGTTGATCAGAAAGAGGTAACATAGCAATTTAGATACCAAGAGAGAGCTAGAGAGCAGAAATAGCTCAAAGATTCCTTCCCTGTGTGACAGGGGAGGTCCCAACCCCTTTATAGACGCAACGCCCAGAAGGAAACACGATTCATTCAGATTGTGGGCTAATGGTGGGAATATTGGTAAAGGGAGAATGAAAACAGTTATGAGGGAGCCCTGGAAGGTAGCTGCACTAAAGATGAGTGGAAGAATTACCCCAAACAAACAAAAATAGAAGCAGAAGGTTCTGAGAGACAAGGAGCCCAATCTTCCCGGGTTATCACTGCCATGGTGAGATCAAGTTTGAGGAGGAGCCTTCGTTGTTTGAGGCCAACTTAACCATGGCACGCAGGGAGGCCCCTATGTTTGACAGTCAGGAGCTAGGGCCATATGGGATAGAAAATAGACTGCATCATTTAAAGGTGTAAGAGAAGGAATATAGATAGTTTTTAAATAAAATTGAGCTTGGCTTCAAAGGAAAATGTTTTTATAGGTAGTTGATGGAAAAGTAAGACCTGAGAAGGTGGACTTTTTAGGATGATGGTGGCATATAAGGATATGGAAATATATGTGTGTATATGTATATGTAATCTTTGCTTGAAAGGTTGCTACAAAATAGGAGAAACTAAAAATACAAAAGTTTTTGAGGGGGCCCATCCTTGCCTCTGTGCCTCCATAAGCAGAAGAAGTAAAGAGAAGATCCTACCACCATCCACCTTAAGACTAGCCATGTGCACTGAACTTATCTGCTGAAACAGTCACCTGAAGGCCACGGCTTCCAGCTCACCCTTCATCAGCTGCTTCTTGTGTGCACAGCTTCTGTAGCTTCCTCTGCCCTTCCCTGGCCTGCCGTCCTCATCATCCGTTAGTTTTCTTCATAGCACTGACCACCATCTAATGTGTACCCATTTATTTTATTATTTTTCCCTAACAAAAGATCAGCTGTAGTCCTTAGAATGTATCCAACACATACTAGAGGCTCAGTAGATAGTTGTTGAGAGATGTACGTGAAGGGAAAGGGTGAATAATTGATGGGACAGAATTCTAAGGCAAGGATTGGCAGACTTTTTCTATAACCAGTCAGATGATAAATATTTCAAATGTTTCCAGTCACACTCTCTCTGCCCCTTATTACTATTTTTTTTTTTGCAAATACTCCTTTAAAATCTAAAAGCCATTTCTTAGCTCATAAGCTATGCATAAAGAAGTTGTGGAGTGATGTTACTTTGCTAACAGTTGTGGAAGTCAAGGAAACAAGACTTAGAGATCTGAGAAAAGAAAGGGAAATGTCTTCCTGCTAAGAATGCAAGTGAGAAAAAAAAGTACAGACTAAACAAAGAAGTCGGAGTTCATGTCAGTGACCCCAGCTTTCTGATGCTAGAGCCCTGTGATCTGAGGCCCGTAAGTGTTATTTAATGCAGACTCCAGTGTTATCTCTGCTGGTGGGTGTTATCTGCCTGAAATGTGTGAACGCTGTGAAAGAATAGAGTGGCTGAACAAGTAGGGATAAAAAGAAAACTGATAAAAGCACAAGACTTAGCCCTAGTGGAATAATATCTTATAAATCTGTGTTGTGTGCTACAGGATGAGAGGTTCTTAAGAAAAGGTCCATTCTGAGAACTGGCGGGATACTACCTAACTTCTCAGGGTAGCCTGGTATACTAACTCAAAATAATAGCTGGACATCCCTCATACTATTTTTTCAATTAAATTGCTTCTAGTCAAAGAAATATGAAATCGTTTTCTGAATGCTAATAATAATAATACACATTTATTATAAACCTAAGATAATTATGTTTTGATGGTAATGCTACAGCGGTTATCTCATTTAATATGGGAAGTAGGGTCTAGCATGGTCTCTGATTTATGGATAAGGGAACTGAAACTTAGAGATTCAAGAAACCTACTTTGAGAAGTCAAAGTCACACAAGCTCCTAAGTGACAGAACCAGATTAGCCAACTAATTCTGCTGTTACCCAGCCAGGCTCTCGTCTTACTGCAGTAGGGAACTGATTAATGAGCCGATTCTAACATGGAAGGAGGTTTTCAGTGACAGTCACTGTCCTCACCCTGCCTGTTCAGCATTGCCTTAGTTGAGGACATAGATAGAGTACGTATCAGGGAGAATAGAAGTACATTAGATCACAGAATGAAAACCCAGAATTTTCTCCAGCTGGAATGGTTCACCAAAGAAGAAATGTTACCGAGATAAGAATACAGTCCTGTACTCAGGTCCAAAAGCAGTTGTCTGAAGGCAGTGTCGTAGCTGTGGGGGGGTGTAGGGAGGAGAATGCTTAGAGGTTTCAGTCATTCTCGGTCCAGTCTGTGGTGAGCTGCAGCTTGCTCAGAGGAAAATAACACAAGACCACTTTATCTGAGGAATAATTTGGGAAACTCATAAGAGGTTTGGTGGGGGGGACAATTTTGATGGGGATAGGATGTTAGTATTTTTGAATGCTTTTACATACTAAAGATGACAAACTAGACTTGTTTTGTGTGACCTTCATGGCCAGATCTAGGGATAAATAGATATTTCATGGAGCCAGAGTTTGACTCAGCATGAGGTGTAACTTCCTACAAAGAAACCTCTTCAAAGCATACTGGTTGCTTTGGGAATTAGTACATTTACTATTGCTGGGCAATGACACCCAACTATCACTTCTTAGGACTTAGTCTGGGTGACTTGCCAGCACTGTTTTGCCTCCTAATGTTTCAGACAAATAAAGCATTTCTATAATTTTTTTCAGAAATTTAATTTCTTGACTTTTTTCGGTACATTTGTAAACCGATTTAGTGCACTGTTATATATATGGTGGTATAAATTCCAGAAATTCTGCTTGGAACATGGGCTATATAAATTTTTTTAGACTATAGTAAGATATTTCACACACTGAGATTAGGCTTTGAATATTTCTTTTCAAAGGATATGGACTTTGCTTATAATTTTTGTCACAGATTATACCATAGGAATTTGTACCACGGCCCTGCCAATATTTCTCCTAAGTCACTTCTATGATATAGTTATTAGTAAATTCATGAAATACCCATGGTGTTTTCCATAAAATGATGTTTACAAGACGTGCCTTGGAAAGCTCACTAATCCTTGAACAGATTAGATTCTAATCAACAGAATGAAGTTGTTTAACAAAGAACATTGTCTGTTGACTTAAGACCCTTGCGGTAGTTCTCAAATTTGTCTTGTGATCTGCGTTGTTGCTATTTAACCCTGTTCTTTCTAAGTGTGTATGTTCATTTCTAATTGCTCCACGTTCTCAATAGAAAATGAACTGCATGTCTTCTCAGGTGACGATCTCCTTTTGGTTCTTGTCTTCTTGAAGTTAAGAATCGAGCTGAGAGACAGAGCCTAGCAGAAGTTTATTTAGCAAAGCAAAGTCAGATAATAGTCCACTCTCGAGAGAGGTTGACCCAAAGGGATCCGAAGGGAGGTTATAGCCCATTGAGTGCTGCCTTGTGAGTTTGTAGATGCTCATGAATATTTGTGAGGTTTATGGCATATTCATGGGGGTAAGGTGACCCTTTTTTCTTCCCAAATGATAGGGAACCATACCTCCCTTTTAGGGCTTTTCTTTTCATGATAATATTGAAAAACCACAAGGAAGACAGTCAAAAGTACTATGCAATTGATATGATGAAGCCTGGGTTATTGAGAATGGAGACCCTTTTGCTAGTCCAGGAGTAGCAATTAGGAAAGAATAATGTCTTCATTTCTGGTGTAGTGAGAACAACCTAACTGCAGTCAAGGTTAAATAACCACAAAGGGGCCTTCTTACCATAAGGGACACAGCTACCAAGAGCTACAGTTTTCCTGGCTCTCTCATATCTAAATCCCTGCCTAGCCAGGAGATGTAAGTATAAGAGACAGCTGTAGTCCTTGGTTACCCACATCTAATTCCTTGTCTGTTCAGTCTCAAATGTGTTTGAAAGCCTTAGTTTACTTTTCTAAGAGTATTAGAAACAAATTTTATTGCTTATTATCACCATCTCTGACATTTTAAAACAATGTGGAAGCACGAGTAGGAAACCTTTCTACTTGCATTCTGATCCTTTAATTTTATGGAATAAGCAGAGACATATGACTTTTTGTTTTTCCTTTTCAGGTGTAATCCCTTTCCATGGATTTTCCATGTATGGTAAGCTGAGCTTTAAAACAGTCATTGTTTTATTACATTTTGGAAATTCAAGCATAATGATAAAACTGTATATCACTCACAATCATGAATTATTATGTATATTTTTAAATATTAAATTTAGTGTTTTATATGTCTACTTAAGAAAGTCATAAATGGTCATCGTCATGGTTCAGGTGATGATTTCTCAGCAGATGAGAGTTAAACCAGACCACACAAATTGTTGAGTGGAATCTGTAAGGGAATCAGAAACAGAAAATCTGAAGAAGTTAAAATACAAATTTTTACCCTTGACATATTAATATGGTGGAAAATCAAGTTGCTTAAATTCCTGGACCAATTCTTATGTGAATCTTTAAAAAAATATTGTGTCAGAAAGAATCTGAAGGGAAGGACGGCACTGAGTTTGGACTCATGATTTCCCAGCCTCCTGGAATGCAGAGTGACAGTTCTCTTGGAGCATCAAGTGTTCTTCAGGCAAATGAAAATACAGGCAGAGAGCTCTGAGGACTTCCAGTCCTCATGTGTCATTGAGAGAGGAATATGAAAAACTTAACAAAGATTGGCAAAAGGAAGAGTACACTACACCTTAATGATGTCACTTAATTTATAGATTTGCATGTATTACCTCAACTTACTGTATCTACTCTATTTCTATCCTTTTGCCTTTAGAATACACAGACATACTTTAATGTTTTACCTTTCCAACATGAGCCAGCAATAAATGAATACTTTCCTTCATTTAAAAGCACCTCCATATTCACCATCAGAGTGATTGTGAATGATAATATAAAACCTTTAAAACTAGCATACAGTGGAAGGTTCACGAGCTACCGAGGGAATGTTGGCCTTGCACTGTCTTAGTAGTGGTCACAGACTTGCGTTGAAGTGTGTTTTACTTTATTCTCTGGAACAATCAAAATTTTATAACATGCAATCTTAGAGTGAGCCTCTGGTATATTGTTTGTCTTTGATAAGCATGTGAGGGAATCTGAAACAGAAAATCTGAAGAGGTTAAAATACAGATGTTTACCTTGATAATAAGAAATGTAAGCCTTTGGTTATTTCACTTCAATAACTCCAGCTATTTAAATTTTTCAAGTAAAACATTTTTAGTGTGCTTGAGTGATCTGAAGTATACTTGATACAGGAAAGGTTACTCATCTGGCAGCTTTTAGTTGAGTTGTATTTATGCTGATGGCCATTTAAATAGACTCACATGTGTACACCCAGGGGAAACTTTGCTAAGGAAATAGATGGTGCAAAATACTCGATAAAGACTTGTGTATGCTACTTTAGAAACCCGCTTAAACAGTCACAGATACTTGAGCAGCAGCTACTTAGCACTCGTGTGCTGGGAAAGCAAATCATCCCTAAGTGACTTAGTATTTTGCAACTTTAGTTTCTATATTTTAAAAATTGTAATAGTTTTGTCCTTTTAAAATTCATTCAAAATTTTTCACTAATTTAAACTGACTTCTCATTCATGTAGATTAATAGTCTTATTACAAGCATATAGCATATTATTTCAGAGATAAAGTCCCACCACATAATGTCTAAGTAGCTTCAAAAGTGTTAGTGAGGGGCTGGAGAGTTGGCTCAGCAGTTAAGAACACTTGCTATTCTTCCAGAGGGCCTGGGTTCAGTTTCCAGATCCCATATGGTTCCAGGGGATCCAACACCATCTTCTGGCCTCTGTGGGCACTGAATGACATGGATGCATTTAACATACATGCAGGCAAACCACTCATACACATAAAATATTTTTATAAAAAACAAAAAAGTTAATGAACTAAATTTATTTTGATGGAAGAACCAGATAGTAAAATATTCTTGAAATAAAATTTTAAATCATGCTTATTTTTACATATTATATAATGGACTGATGCTTTTACATTTTATTGTTCTCTGAAACTCAACAAAAATGTGGCGCTTTGAATATTGATGAGTGGTAAAGTTTGTTTGTGTTATATGTTTATAGAAATGCATTTATTTTTAAGTTTGTACTTTATTCCTGCATGGAATTGATCATTACTAATTTTAAACCTGTAAAATCTTCAGGTTTTAATGTATCAATAATTTTTAAATTAAAGAAAAATATACATTATTTTAAAAAGTAAATAAATTCTAATTTTTCAATTTGAATTTATATTAATGCCATCCATGTACTTGTGCCGCTTTGCTTATTCTTAAGTTGTTATTGCAATCAGAACATGAATCATCATTTTAAAATGTATGGAATGCTATTGAGCTATTTTAATAAGTAGCCATTTATTTTGATAAGTTTTAAATGTTAGCTTCGAAATGGAAGAAACACCTATCTGGTTTTCAACTTTATATCTTTATTAAATGTGTACCACATATACAATTTTCTGTTTCTAAGTGATTTTTATATTAATTTAAATGTTAACACCCCTGAACGTAATCTTGTTCCTCTTATGCCCTATAGAACAAGTAGATGTCCATGTGAAGTGCTGGCTTTTACTGACATATTCATCAATAATAGTGAACACTGTGTTTTTCCCCATGTAATTGAACTTTTGTTAGTGAGCATTTAAAATATTTTTGTAATTTTTATTTTGTCCTGGTTTCTTGGTTTCCCTGCTTCATTACTGCCCAATGCCCTCTGGGATGTACCAACCCTTACAGAGCGCCAGTTAAATTTCTATCATTTGCAATCACCCTATAAGCATGACATTTTTCTTCAAATTAATATTTAGACATACAGTCTATGTATTTGCATTGTTGATACTGCTCCAAATTCATGGAAAATGTGACCATGTTTGTCAGCACAGTAGAATCATGTGATCAGATTGGTCCCCAAGATTAGCCCTTTCTGACTTGAAGCTGTGGGATGTCTGATTGGATTGACCCACCTCGGCTTACCTGACAAAAACTGGATGCAAAAGAAAACATAATTTAACATTCACTAAAGAAAAAATCTTCTACCTTAGAACCAGTTTAAGTTGGTGGAAACTATTTTCATGCATAAAGCTATGTCGTGGGCTGGGGATGTAGCTTAGTCGGTAGAGTACTTGCCTAGTGTGCAGGAAGCCCTGAGTTCAAGCTTCACAGTGCACAAAACGTGGTGCATGCTTGTAATCCCAGCTCTCAGGAGGTAGAAGGAGGAGGATTAGAAGTTCAAGGTCATCTTCTATATAATGATCTTGATGCCAAAAATATTTAACATAATCAATAGTATAAAGATATTACAATCTTCATAAAACAAAGGACTCTAGATAGACTGACTATACTTAGCAGATGGACTTGTATTGGGGAATGGCTGGGGTCACTGACAACACAGTGGACAATAATAGGGGTGACAGAGCATATGGGCTCCAGTGTGTGGGGGTCATTTGGGATGCGGGTATAAAGATGAATAAGATTGTTTGGGATGTTCTGTATGAAATACATAAAACAGCTGATAAAAAACAAATAAAACTAAGTAAGTTGTAAAAAAGATATTACTCAATTTTTTTATTTTCAAGTTGAATTAATTAAAGATATTGTTTAGTCATCTTATATTTTACTTATTTACTTTCCAAAATTAAAAATTTTGAGGACTGGGCAGATGGCTTAGTTTGTGAAGTACCTGCTACCTAAATATGAGAACCATAATTCAGATCGTCAGCACCCAGCATCCATGTAAAAGTCATGTGAGGTGGCTCTGTAACCCTAGGACTGGGGGCAGATGGGTGGATATGGAGACAGGAGGATCTCAGGAAGCTTGCTGGCCAGCCAGTCTAGCCAATTGGTGAGCGCCATGTTTAGTCAAAGAATGAAAGGCCTTGTCTCAAGAAATAATGTGGAAAATGATGAAGGAAGGCACCCAGCACCCCCTCTGGTCTTTACATATGTGAGCATGCATGTGCCCACTCACACAAAATCCTTTTTTAATTTTAATGTTTTTTAAATTGAGTTTTTGCAAGTTTCATACAATGTATTTTGATCCTATTTAGACCCTCCATCTGTGCCTCCTTGATATGTCTTGTTTTGGAATGGCCCAGGGAGTTTCATTGGGCTTGCTTACAGGAGCATGGGGGACGACTTGTTTACAGGAACATGGGTAAATTATCACTGAAAAAAATGGAGAATGTCTCTCCCTTTCCCAGCAACCATTAACTGAGTATACATCCTCAAAGAGGGCTGGGGCCTGGTCAGCTCCTCCCCACTCCATGAGCAGATGTCAATGGGCCCAATCCTGAGTAAATCTTGTGCAAGTAATCACAGCTACTGAGTTTAAGAGTGCAATGGCCATGTCATATCAGGAAGTCAATGTTCCACACCACCACCACCCTCCACCACCCTTCCCCACTTCCCACCACACTTACATTCTTTCCATCCATTCTACAATATTCCCAGAGTCATGGAGGAGGTCCTGTTTATGCCTGAGTATTCAGCTGTCAGTTATTCTCATCCCTTTGGCCAGTCATGAGCTCCTGTAGTTACCACTGCCCAGTGCAAGAAGCCAGAGAGGGTGATGGGGGGTGAAAGTGATCAAAATACATTATGTGTGTGTGTGACTGGAGGTGATTGTACTCAAAATACGTTATATATGTGTGTGAAAACTTCATAATGAAACCCATTATGTATAACTGTACTAATAAATAAAAGACAAAAATTAATTCCCATTTGTGATAAGAACTCTTATATTAAGCATAGAAGGGGGGGCTGGAAAGATGGCTCAGCAGTTAAGAACACTGGTTGTTCTTGCAGAAGACCCAGGTTCGAATCCCAGCACCCACATGGCAGCTAACAACTGTCCATAACTCCAGTCCCAGAGGATCTGACAGCCTCTTCTGACCTCTGCAGGCATTGCACGACACGGGTGCCCTTACCTACATTCAGGCAATACATGTATACACATAAAATAATAATAATAAAAAAGAATAGAGGGGGATTCCTTTCTTTTCTTAAAGAATATCTGAAAAATACAGTGGACATTACACTTACTGAAAGCTTTGTCCCTAAGAAATAGATAAAGATGCCCACATGCTTCCACTTCTGTAGTATATTCCTTTGAAGGTCATAACCAGTACAGTAAAGCAAGATAGATAAATAAACAAATAGCTTAAGGCTGGAATGTAAGACATAAAGCTGTTGTTAGTATCAGATAATATGATTATGTACATAAAAATCCAAAAGAATAAGCAAGTAACATATGAAAATTAGTAAATGGATTTAGAAAGATTAATGAATACACTCTCAAAAACAGATTTTATCCCTATGGTCCAACAACAGAGGTGCAGGAGATTGTGTCTTTTGTACCAGCTGTGACTCAGTGAAAAGTGTGGCGTGCTGGGGGGAAGGGCTGCAGTTTTGAAGCTCTTTCAGAACACGCATGAACAAAACATGTCACATGTTGATATGACAGATGAAAGCTCCGGCACTGAAGGGTGTTGGTGTGGTGTTGGAAAAATTCCTTCATCTCCCCTATGCCTCAGTTTCTCCATCTGCAAATCTCAAATAGCAATGTGTCCTAATGAGTAAATTTTAATGGTGATTGGAAAAAATGAGTTGCTCCTCCTTGGGAGAGTAAGAGGCAGGAGTTCAGGGTACAGGGCAGCACAGCTGTGAGACCCTGTCTCAGAAAACCCTCAAAAGCAGTTGCCCGATTGCCTGATTGTCATCCTCTTCTTATTTCACTTTCAAAAAAGAGACACTTGACTTTAGACAATTCTTAAAAGCTAATTTGAATGGTAGTACCCCCTGTAGTTCCCTCACCTCATTCACAGTCATGTTAGCTTGGGATTCTAACAAACTTCTTTATAGTATTTAATGAGCGCTTGGACTTTCACATGTGCATGTGTTCGCCTTTCAAAAGGAAAGCATAGTGCTAGTCTGACAGTAAGCTGTCTGTGCACATGAGTACTACAAAGTACTGTTTCCTTCTTCATATTTCATCAGTTTACTGCAAAATTTTGGCAGTCCTGCAGTCTCATCAATTATTTTTTCTTTCAGTTGCACCACTGTGTTTTCTCTATCATGAACCTTACAAATTGTATCAGATATTCCGTGAGATGTACGTGCGCTTTTTCTTCAGACTCCATTCCATTTCTTCTCATCCTTCTGTAAGTTCATAAAAGTTGGATCAGCTCAAGTGTTAATCTATTCTTTCCTTAAAGAAAAAGTCTCTTACTCAAACGATAAAGCAACACACTTTAATTTATGATGTCAAGTAATGTGTTTCCATAGGATAAATGAAAGAGAACTGAGTGATTTTTAAATGTTTTGGGGATGGAGAGGAAAATATTTCTTGTTGACTACACTTGACCCTTCCATATTAAAACGAAAGACTCGGACTGCCTGGATTATCATCCTTGACGAAGATGCCTACCTTCTCTGTTGATTTCCTCATCTGAGAAATGAGGTTGGAGAAAGGTCATCTGTGGTGCTGTAGGGAAGTTTAAAGAGCACACAGGGCGATGGAGAGTGGGCTCATAACAGGTGCTCAGTACAGAAATGGCTGCTTTTCTCACTTTGCTCTTGTTATAATTGTTGTCACCACTTCGTTTTTTTTTTTTTATCGAGCATTCTTTTCTCTTGTGTTTCAATTCCATATTTGTCCAATTATCAGTTCTTGTGCGACATATTCTTTGGATGCAAAGCTCCTTTGACATTAATATGAGAGTCAAGGATTATTGGCAGTTTAACATTTTTATCTCTTATAATTTTTATTCCTTTATCCTGTTTTTCACCCTCTTCTATGAGCCTGAGCAAAAGCAACACTTACTTGTTCTGCCATCTTTCCCCTTTTATCTCGCTTTGGTCTGCTTGGGGATAGCGTGACTACCTCTTCATGAGAAACATGGCTCTGGAAGGCAGGCAGGGCTGCCAAGCTGCTCTGAGAGCACACTGTGTGCCTCCCGCTAAGTTGAATAGCCCCGTTGAAGCCTGTGCTCCTGCTCCACTTTCCTTGTCTTCAGTTTTGTGCTCCTGCATTGTTAGTGAAAGTTGGCAACTTAAGAGAATTCTAGGATGTTACACAAAAGCAAGCAAATCATCCTGTCTCTCTCTAAGAGAACTTGATTAGTTTTTACCCTACATCCGTGTTTAATCAGAAAGATATTAATAACTTTTTTTTCTAATATCACAACTTCACCATCACATTTTTCTGTTCTCATCCACACACTTCACACACATGTACACTTAATAACATATGTATACATTCACACACACATGCATACACCAAACACAGACACACACACAGACACACACACACACACAGACACACACACACGCACACGCACACACACACACACACACACACACACACACACATATTCTTATACCATGGAGTTTTAAAAGAACAAACCATCAGAACAGTACCAGCCATATACCTGCCAACTCTGCCTCTTTATTAGCTGTGGAATCAAGATCCTCTCTTTTTCAGACTTGCAGTTATGTTGAACTATTTGAAACCATGACAGCTTAGAAACCCAAAAAGAAGAAGAAAACTTCCCTACCAAGAGTAACTCAGAGGAACACTCAGCACCCTCAGAAAGACTTTACTCAAAGTTCTCAAAGAATAAACATACTTGAAAAACTATTTACTTAAATTGGTTACTTCTTATATTTTATAAGCAGTGCCCTTTTAAAAAAATTTAGCAAACAAACAAAACCATTATACCAAATAATCAGACATTTTTGTTTGATAACTTCTTGATGTAAGTTTCAAAGAAGTAAGAAAAACAAGAAATATTTTCCCCAAAAGGTGAGGCTAGAGGCAAAAAGACACATGGAGAGGGGGAGGAGGGGGGTTAGAGTCCCAGGAAATGCCTAGAAACTGGAATGCATCTAGAAGAAAACTAATTTTGCTAGAAGTAAGTGATAATGTGTCTTGCAAAAGAATGTGTGTCTTGAGTTCTCTAATCATTAGATGAGGGCTTCTGTGAGGAGCCCATAGAGTTTAAAAAGAGATTTCTTAGCACGTCCAGAAGGAAATCACATTTACTTTTAAATACAGTCAGAGATCCATTAGTGTAGTCTCTGTTTTTGATTCAAACAATATTTATATTCATAGTCTTTCTTATTTGAATAATTTGTTAATATTTAAGGACTAAATTTTTTCTCTTCTGATTCATTATTATATCCAGGGTATTGTATCACTCTGCTTGCTGTTTGAAAGTCTGCTTCAAACATATCTCCCCCAACTCTTCTATCATCTACGAGAAATTGGAGCTCAACCGTGAGTACTCTCTTACCTAGTTGCATCTTCCCAAGCACTTTATCTTGATGAAATGTTAAACCCAGAAAGCTTTTTTCTTCATGGTACAACACTTGTAAAGATGCAGTAATTCTTTAGAGAATTAGGCCAACAATTCTCCCTGATAAAATAATAAATACTAAATTGCAACTGCATTGTGCAAAAAAAAAAAGAAAGTCTTAGAAGAGGGCTGGAGATGTAAGTCAGTAGTAGAGCACTTCCCTAGCATGTGTGAGGCCTGGGTTCAGTGTCCAGCACTGAGAACAAAAAGTTCTTGGAAGAATTGAAAGGATCCTTTTAGAAGTCTTATTCAGTGGAACTTTTGTGTCTGGCACGAGAGTCATCAAAATGGACTGATTTTTAAATTTTATTTATTAATTTTATTTGTATGAGTGTATTACCTGCATATATGTGAGTGCACCCATGTCATGCAGTATCATGGAGGTCAGAAGAGAGCATCAAATTCCCCTGGAATTGGAGTTAAGGACAGTTTGTAATCGCCATATGCTCTTAACCACTGAGCCACCTCTCCAGTCCCAAAATGAACTAATTTCTATTCACAAAGAAAACATTTATGGAAGCAAATATAGCCTGAGAAACATGATGATGACAAAATAGAGTCAGTGTGGGCCAAATTCACCAGAGCACAACCTATGTAATGTGGTTATAATAGAATATAAATGCAGGTTATGCACCCACCTCCTTATGGAAGTTTGGGTTTCATTCACTGATATCAGTATGAGTTATAGTGACTGTAGACTAGCTCTGACTTCAGCAATATTGATTTTGTCTCTTAAACAATAATGCCCAAATTGGTCTTTTGTTCCTGTCTCCTCTAAGTAAGCATGGTTTACCATAGGAAGGTATATGTGAAAAGAAAGCACATTACCTCTTTGAGGCTACAGGAGGTACTGGGAACTAGAATACTGGAGTATTTGTCCTCTTCACACTTGAGTCCACAGCTAATGCCTGGCTGAGTGGACAGAAATTTAACTCAGCCTCAAATTCCGTATCTATTAAGCTGTTCAATCCAGGTTAAGTTATTTATGCCATAGTTTCTTTACGCTTGAATCAAGGTGGTTCAATGTCTTTATTTTAAAATCAAGAGAATTCCCACCTCATGGAATTTTTTACAGATTCAATGATTATAGATATGAACTGGAGGTGGAAGAGGAATACATGAGTGGAATGTCTCCTTTCTGTAAGCTCCACTGATTTTGAGAAAGATTACAAGTGCAGCAATCCTAAAACAGTCAAAGAAAATCATAGAACAGTATTCCATATTATCCTTTAATGATTTTGAATTCACACTCTTTCCTTTGTGGCCATTTTTAAAGTATTCTGTTTAAAATATATTGTGGGGAAAATATTTTATGTTGAGACCAATACCTTTTCACTTAAACTTGCAGTACATTGTTTACTGTTACTAAATTTAAATTTAGGGCCTATAAATAGACTTTTCTTTGTTATGTTGAAGAGATTTAGTTCATTGCTAGAAACTAAAATGCTGGTAATTTTTTCTCATCTACTTATACATTTTCGTCACTACAAGGAACATATTTATTTCAGTGACTTAAAATTCTTACACAAGAGAAAGTATAAAAATTCCCAACAGTCAAGGGAGAGAGGGATGGTGTGTGCTTCTACACAAGCCTGGGGGGGATGATGTGTGCTTCTACAAGCCTGTGGGGGATGGTGTGTGCTTCTACACAAGCCTGGGGGGATGATGTGTGCTTCTACACAAGCCTGGGGGGGATGGTGTGTGCTTCTACACAAGCCTGTGGGGATGATGTGTGCTTCTACACAAGCCTGTGGGGGATGGTGTGTGCTTCTACAAGGCTGA